GCACGGGGGGCGGGGCGGGGGGCAGGGAGCGGGAATCACACTTTATCTCACTAACTTCTAACTGAAATTTAGCTTTTTCTGAAATTATGAATGGAGGCATCCAACCACAGTAGTGTTAGCAGCGACCACAGATATTTTCAAATCCCTGTACAGTTGTAGCAGGTATCTGCAAATACCATCTCTGCACATCCCTGCTTCAAAACTCCAGCGGTGATTTGTCCTGCCAGGGGATCCTCTTTAATCCATTAATGGAGAAGCATGGATATTGCTATATCACTACTTTAAAAAGTATTTTGATGATAACTGTATTTCAAAATGACTGGTTTCCTTTGAGGTCCTCTGTATTTTCTTTTATGCATTTGAAAACATATTTGGGCTGCCCAGGAAGGAGGGGGGAAGAGAGGCAGAGCCCGGAGCATAAAAAAGGAGTAAAAACCATGTTGGTAGGGTGTGAAGTTAATCCTCTAGAAGAATTCAGAACTTCCTTCAGGGGAACATTTGAAAGAAGTGATGTTAATGCTTGGATGGGCAAGGAAGGGTGTGGCCAGGTAGTTAGCGCCCTGGTGCTGAGTGAAGAGCTGGAAAAGTCAACTGGATGCTGTGTTGCTCACACTGTGTTTAGGTCAGGCCTCTTAACACACCACCAGCGGGCTCTGGCTGGTGTTGCTCAATGGTTACAGTGTCATCCTGCAGACTGAAGGGTCTCAGGTTCAATTCCTGATCAACGGCACGTACTTGGGTTGCAGGTTTGATTCCCAGTCCCAGTACCGGGAGGCAACCAATCAATATGTCTCTTTCACATGGTTGTTTCTCTCTCTTCCTCCCTTTCAGTCTCTCAGAAAATTAATGAAAAAAATATATATCCTTGGGTGAGAATTAACACACAAAAAAATAGCGATAATAATGTAAATATTTAAAATATTTTTAACTTCTATCAGGAGCCATCAGCTTTATTGAGGACTTAGGTGTGTTACACTTTCATTGGGCGATATGAAGGTGGCCAATATTATGGAATACAGAGACCGGAAGCCACCCACTCAATAACTGGGGGAGATGAAGCTGATTTCTTGACTCTAAATCCTGTTCTTTCCAGCTAGATGAAGGAATGGGCCTGTGTGTGTGTGTGTGTGTGTGTGTGTGTGTGTTCAGGGAGGGGTTAGTAGATAGGCCCTGTCATGCAATCCTTCACTATTTGTCTTCTAGGCTAATAGGTCCTGTCACCGTGGCCCCCAGATCCAAACCCAAGGTTTTTCTCTATGTGGCATTGAGGAAAGAGCCATACAGACCTGAGTTCCATGCTGATCCTGCCACTGTGAATTTGGGTGATTTACTTGATCTCCCCGAACCTCATTCTCTTCATCTGTGCAACGAGGCAAGATCTACTGGTGTCTTGCCTGGCTGTTGGCACTACCTGGCTGCTTAGTAAATGCTACCTATCATCGCACTTTATACCTACCCTGTTCCAATGCCATCACCCTCTCTCTGCTTCCCTGTCAATCTTTGTCATTTCTGCCTGGCCACACCTCCTCCCTCTTCTTCCACCTTAACCTAGCTTTGCTCTCTCCTCCTAAATCTCCTTCCCTATGGTGCCCCGTTCTGTGCATTTGTGAACAGCTCACCCAGGTCTCTAATATTCGAAAGAGGGTCCAGTTAAGCCTTCTTTGAAGGTCATGAGGGCTGGGGTTACTGCTGACTGGTGCCTGAATAGAGGAGCTGGTGCCTGGTCAGAGAAAGGAGGCAGCTTCACAGAGCAAATCTTCCTAGAACAGTTCAAACCTTTCCAGTATCGTTCTTAGCCAGAAATTGTCTGGGACTTGCTTTGATTTTTTTTTCTTCCCCTCTCCTGTGTGTGTTGAGACAAGTCTCCCAAACCTGTGGCTTCGAGTACAGCCCCCATACCACTGCATCACCCCCTTTCTCAATCCACCTACACTTGTTGGCTCCAGCGAGACACACTGAGGCTTTGTTTAAAAACTGGGCGGGACTGGCAATATCAACATCTCAATGTCCTGCATTCAGATGCTATAGTCCTTTCATTTGTTCTGTGTCCTTAGGCAAGACACCCGACTTTTCTGGGCCCAAGATCCAACTATCCTGGTAGAGGGAAGAGGTGGTGGCTCCATTTTCCTAGAAGGGTTGATGGAGGATTCGGTTATTGTTTACGGAGGATGGTGGCTCTGTCGCTACACCCAAGATTCACTCTGGATTTGAGCAGATATCTGTACACCCATGTCCATGGCAGCGTTCTTCACAATGGGCAAAAAGATGGAAACAGCCCAAGTGTCCATCAATGGATGAATAAATAAACAAAATGTGATATTTGCCTATAAGGGCATATTATTCAGCCTTAAAAAGGGATGAAATTCTAATACAGGTTACAACATGGATGAACCTTGAGGACATTATCCTTAGTGACAGAAGCCAGTCACCAAAGAGCAAATACTATCTGATTGTGTGCTTCCATGTAAATGCTGTGTGATTGTATGAGTCCGTTCAACAGTGGTCGAACTTATAGGCACACAAAGTAGGATTGTGGTTGCCAAAAGATGGGGTAGAGAGGAATGGGGGTTATTTTTTAATGGGCACAGAGATTCAGTTGGGGAAAACGAGAAAATTCTGGAGATGGATGGCGGTGATGGTTGCACAACACTGTGAATGTACTTAATATTAACTATGTACTTAAAAATGATTAAAATGGTAAATCTTATGTCATATGTACTTTATCACAGTAAAAACACATACCTGGAGTTGGGCGGGGTGGGGTGGGGGGGCTCAGTGAGGAAGACTGTGGGTTCTGTTTCCAAAGACACAGCCCGCCAGTCCCAGATACCTGTCCACTGCCCCCCAGTAGTTGGGTTGGTGGCTCGGACCCAGGCTTTTTGCTGATGGGGGAAGAGTAGCAGTGGAGCTTAGGAGAACCCAGCGATGTGTTCCAGGACAGGCACTTGGTGGGTGAGAGGGTCCAGAGTGCCCAGGACATGAGGAAACACCCAGCAGCCGCCCTCAGCACTGTGTACAGGGCCTGGGGTAACATAAACCTGCTGCAGTGATGGCTGAATGGAATGTGGAGTTGACAGGTGCCTGAGGGGCAGTAGGAGCAGCTGCAGCAGGGGTGGGAAGCTCTCTGGGGGCAACAATCCTGAAAGTATCCTCCCCTTAGGAGGAGACCTTCGGTGTCTGAGAGGTAGCCCGTGGACAGTGAGAGTTCCAGAATTCCTCCGGAAGCAGGCTTAGAGGCAAGCATTCTGTTGATACCTTGATAGTAGATACCTTATTTGGTGCCCCACTGTCCCTAGACAGAGCAGCAGGCTTTGTGCCATGACTCAAGGAGGAAACAACTGAGTCAACAGAAGGAAAAACTGCCTGGAACAACTAGAGATGAATCAGGCTACCTTGAAAGGTGGTGAGTGGCCCATCACCAGAGGGATTCCAAGAGAAGCTGTCCTTTGCAGACTGGGAGACCCCTGTAACCTAGGCTGCTTGGTTAGGAGAGGGGCTAGAGATCCCCAGAAGAGGAGGTATTGTCTGAAGGACTGGCTTTGGCTTTTTCAGAGGAAACCACTAATCCTTGCAGGGAACCTACATGGCCCAGGGCACTAGATGATCCCAAACTGCCATTCAGGGGTTTCCTTTCATCCCGGTGCCTGGCACCAAGGACAGGGTAGCCGAGCTGTCAGACACTTCCCGGCCACAGTGCCAGGAGGGGGCAGACAATCTGTCTCCCTGTGCCTTTGCCCTAAATGCTCAGCTGGGGAGGTGACCAGCAGGAGGATGGCACTGAGAAAAGGAATTGTCACCCTCCCTGCTCACAAGACTGTGTAGAGCAGGTGGCCTGGGACTGGCGCTGGGCTGGCCCGTGAGGGGAGGGGAGCACTGGACTCCTGGGATACAGCAGGTTCAGGGGTGTGGCCCACACAGGCAGGATGGCTCCTGGGCCACATGAGATGACAGTTTTGCTTTCAGCAGCCTTCAATCTTTGGAGAGAGGGACAGACTCTACAGCAAGAGCTGTGTTTTTAGGGGTTTTTAGAGAGGACAACATGTAGCCCGAAGACTTGGGTGATACCCAATGGTGAGAATTAAGGTGGGATTGGCAGGTTGGGTGAAGGAATGTTGGGGCCAGAGGGACTATTCTGGCACTTTCCCACCCATACCTCTGCCTGTCCCACCCGGGAGCCCGTTCGGTCTACAGAACAAACTCTGGAACTGCCAGTCAACACTCCCGGGGCGGGAAGGCGTGTGTATACTTGAGGATCCCAAATCGAGCTGTGCATCAGAATCACCTCCACGCCCTGTTAAAAATACTGACCCTGACCTGTCATGATCCCTTGCCTCTGAGGACCATCTCTAGTGAAAACACAGGATTCTGGAATAAATGGTTAGAGCCAGGAAGGAGAGCTGGGAGGGACGTCACCATCCCAGCGGGGGTCTTTGCTCTGCAGGGTTAAGGACCAGTGGCAGCGGGGGACCTGTGCACACCTGGGTTCGTGAGCATCCCACATGGACTGTTCACCGTGCGCTGTGCTGGCTACCGAGGCCATACCCAGGAGAGACGCAGCACACACCTTCATGGGACTGTGTGATGACGTATCAAAATGTCCCTGTGAGCCCCCACTCCAGGACCAGCGTACCGCCACCAGCCAACCTCCTGGGGCAGCCTCCAGTGGGGAATCGGTGACTCTCCAGGGACCCTGCCCCATCCTCCCCCAGAACCTTCACCCTGTGTTCTTTCAGCAGCCCCCCCCCGCCCCCGCCCCCCCAGGTCTGCACCAGGCTGTCCATGGCTGGGTCACAGCCAAACTGATGAAGCACAGGCTGTTTTCTCCTAGGCCAGTGGTTCTCAACCTTCTGGCCCTTTAAATACAGCTCCTCATGTTGTGACCCACCCATCAAATTATTTTCGTTGCTACTTCATCACTGTAATGCTGCTACTGTTATGAATCATAATGTAAATAGCTGATATGCAGGATATTTAGACGACCCCTATGAAAGGGTCGTTCGACCGCCAAAGGGGTCGCGACCCACAGGTTGAGAACCGCTGTCCTAGTATCAGACAGGCATGAGGTGGGGCGCAAGTGAGCTGTCACATCCAAGTTCTGTTTTGTTCCTGCCTCTGTGGCAGGCTTGGCAGACCTGAGCCACAGGTCAGAGGTGCAGGTCAAAGTCAGGCCCAGGAGTCATTTTGACAGTTCACATGTGAGCAGGATGGTGTCCTCGCTGCCTATTTCCCATTGTGGGGAATGGCAAGACTTTGGCCGCGTATCAAACATAATAGTAATATACCCATAACGCTACCAGCCCCACATTAAGTTTCCTGCCTATAAGATCTTTAGATGTAATTTATGGTTGGCTTGGATGTCTCAATCATGGGCATACTTGGGCAATCTCAGGAAGCATGAGACTCATTTAAAATTTGGTTTCAAAGTGCCCTCTCTTTTCTCCTCCTTACTACCCTCATCTTTTTTTAAAAAAAAATATGTTTGTATTGATTTCAGAGAGGGAGAGAGATAGAAACATCAATGATGAAAGAGAATCATTGATTGGCGGCCTCCTGCATCCCTCCCACTGGGAATCGGGCCCGAAACCTGGGCATGTGCCCTTGACTGGATTAGAACCTGGGACCCTTCAGTCTGCAGGCTGATGCTCTATCCACTGAGCCAAACCAGCTCGCACTATCCTCATCTTCTTTGGTCAGGGAGGGAAAGGGAAAAGCTGTGTCTTTCCAACATTTTGACATGAATCCTGCGTCTTACAGAGACAGTGAGGTTAAAAAGCACCCCTCCTTGATAGAAGTAAACACATTCTATTTTTCTATTTACAAATAGGTTTACATTTTTACATCACTCAACAGATCCTCCAGATTCCGGAGGAGGGCCCTTTGCTGCGTCCCCACTGGCCTCACCGGGCACAGAAAGAACTTTCTTCTCCAGGGCTGTCAGCAATGGCCGGGACTTCTGACTCATCACTATCAGATTTCAGAGATGACTGTTCGTGAAGTCATCTCATATCTATATATTTGGTTCAAATGCTACTAGATATTGCCCCTCTTTGGTCCTCAGCCCTGACTGAGGAAGAGAAGCCCATTTCGGAAGACTTGGGGAGCCATTCTTCTCCCATCTGGCTTGGGATGTGGGTGGCCTTGTCTGTAAGCCGAGAAGAAGTTGTAAAAGCACAGTCTGCAGAGCAGTACCTCATTCTGCTCTAGGGCTGGGGCATAAGGGGTGCGTGTTCCGTATTCCTTAATGCCTGTGACTCTCGGGCCTCCTGGGGGCCCAGCTGGTGAGCCACCCCATGGGCCCTCACGGAAGCCACTAAAGCAGGCCACTCCCCGGCTTTCCACACCCTAGGAACTGCGCAGATCCTTTGAGACTATTGAACTTGTATTTCTCAAGGTTCTTTTCCTGCCAATAAATTCTGTTTTATTCTAGGGACGATGGGAGTATAATGAAATGCTTTGTTTGTTTACAGTATTGATGCAGTGAGTATGCACCTGCTAATGGTCTGTGCATTCCTTTTCATGTCTAACCACCCATCTTGGGGTCTTGCTGCAGGAGGGACAATCTGCAGGCACTGAGCCAGGCCAGTGCAGAGGAGGGTGACAATGCCCCCTGATGCCAAAGGGGACAGATCACATTTGACCCTGCTTTACCCTGTCAATCAACAAGGGGGATATCCGTCTCAGATTCTTTGAGGTGACACCACCCCTGCTCTACCAACAAACCCACCCTAGTTACTGTCAAGCTGCTTAGACTTTGCCCACGGGTATGAACATCCGGGACCAAGCAAGAAGAGAGGAGAAGGGGAAAGTGAGGCAGGGGCAGAGGCCAGGCCAGTGGGTACCACTGCCTCCGAGGGAGCTGGGTAGGAGGGACTCCGTTTCCTGGGCTGTGCCTGCCCCCATGTCAGTGTGAACAGATGGAAATGTAGTTCAATGTTTCAACATCATTTGCCTTTCTCGAGCTAAAATATTGATAAGTGCTGCCCAGGCTGATGCCCCCGTGGTTCTGCGCAGTAACTGGAGCATGCTGTGTACTGAAGTGAGATGCAGCAAAGCCTTTAACGGGAGTTTAAAATTCCTGGAATAATGCTCAACGCTGGCTGCTGGCTTCGCTTACTGGGCTCCTGACAACCTGCCCCCCTGGGCCGCCCTGGCCTCGGTGGCAGCAGGAGTGTGAGCTCTGCCTGGACCCCCTGCTGGTGGCAATTAGTGCGGCAGCTGCTCGCCTTCAGGATGGGAAACAAAGCAGGAGGTAGTGGGCTCTTCCCATGTCCTCACACCCCAGA